TGGCATGTTGGGGACTCTGAGAAATCGTGCAGTCAAAAACCTTTTGATCTTTGTAGAACTCTGCTTTTCTCAAACATATTTAAGAATGATCTATTTCTTTTTACATCATACTTAACTAGCCACAAAAGAGCTATATTCTGAGGAATGGACATCCAGCATCTTTTGCCTGGGCTATATTTGTTTTCCTCATGGCTACCTGACCTTCTAAGGGATGGATTGTGTGTGTGCACATGCGTGTGTGTGTGAAATGGAGGGAGGGGGAGGTAGACTTTTAACTGAACCAGCCATATCTGCAAAGAGAAAGTCACAAGAGATGAATTTAAAAAGAAAAGCAGCCGGGCTCGGTGGCTCAGCCTGTAATCCCGCGCCTTGGGAGGCTGAGGTGAGTGGATTGCCTAAGCCCGCGGGTTCGAGACCGCCTGGGCAACTTGGCGAGACCTCATCTCTACAATAAATCAAAAAATCAGCCGGGCATGTTAGCACGTGCCTGTAATTTCAACTACTCAGAAGGATGAGGCAGAAGGATCGCCGGAGCCCAGCAGGTTGAGGCTGCAGTGGCCGGGAGCGGCCACTGCACTCTAGTCTGGGCGACAGAGTGAGACTCCAACTCAAAAAAAATAAAAAAGAAAAGCAAAGACTGCCCTCCCCAACCAGGTAACTCCAAATAATTTCAGTTAGCATTTATTGAGTACATACAGTTCAGGCAGCTTTTTTTGTTGTTTTTAAGACTTTGTATTTCTTAAAACAGTTAACCCTCAAAAAAACCCAATGTGGTAAAAACTCCTGTTGCTCACATCTTATAGATGAGGAAAGCCAAGATTCTGTGAGAGTAAGACACCTCAGCTAATACATGGAGATGCCACAATTTGAGCTCAGGCTGGCTGGTTCTAGAATCAGGCCTCTTAACCATGATGTCATACTGCACTATTTACTCTTCAAAGAAAGCCAACTTCCCCTCTCTCCCCAGTTCACCAGCATGGAGACATGAGTAATTTTTGGTATGCAGGGGACCCCCGCAGAGGACCCAGACCACTTGGATTCATGTAGCTTTTCTGTACTTACTAGCTGTGTGACTTAACCTCTCTGCTTTGTTTTTTTTTTTTCCATGTATAAGATGCAAAGAAAAGGTTCTCACATTAATGAGAACTCAACCCTTTTCCATGCAAGATGATACTTTAAGGAGGATTTGACCAGATTTAAGAGGAGGTTGTGAGTACTCAATATGTCAGTCCACTATTTCCCAGTTAAAGCTAGTCTCACGAGAACCTCCTATTGGCCTTGATTCTGTCCTCTGTACCAAGTCAGAACAAGCCCGTCATCTTCTATAAAGTGGGCTTTGAAATATGTAAAGACAGGTAGCACAGCACCTTCTCTAGTCTTAAGACTGCTGGATTCTTTCACTGAGTCTCCCAAACTGGCTTTCAGGGTGCTTTCCCTTCTGTTCACATTTTAAATAGCTCTTATGCCAACATGCAGCACCTTTGATCTGTTTCCTGAACATGACATCACAAAGATGTGTTGTTTACAGTCCTTAAAAGGTTAAGAGTTTATAGGGCTGGGCATGGTGGTTCATGCCTGTAATTTCAGCACTTTGGGAGGCTGAGGTGGGAGGATTACTTGAGGTCAGATGTTTGAGACCAGCCTGGACAACAAAGTGAGACCCTGTCTCTACAAAAAAATCAAAAAACAGGTGTGGTGGCCTGTGCCTGTGGTCCCAGCTGCTTGACAGGCTGAGGTGGGAGGATTACTTGAGCCCAGAAGGTTGAGTCTCAGTAAGCCATGATCATGCCACTGCATTCTAGCCTGGGCGCATTCCAGACTGGGTGAGAGTGACAGCCCAACTCAAAAGAAGTCGGTTAAAAGTTTATTAAAGCAGAATTTTGTTTGTTTTCCTTTTTATCAGTTTCCCTCTCACAACACATACTTTAATGCAGGGGTCCTCAAACTACGACCCGCGGGCCACATGCAGCCCGCCAAGGACATTTATTCCCATTTTGTTTTTCACTTCAAAATAAGATATGTGCAGTGTGCATAGGAATTTGTTCATAGTTTTTTTTAAACTATAGTCCGCCCCTCCAACGGTCTGAGGGACAGTGAACTGGCCCCGTTTTAAAAGTTTGAAGACCTCTGCAGTTTAATGTAACAGTTACTGCGTCTTAAAAAGAGCCAGCTATAGGGGCTTGCTGGGCATTAGTTGAACGAATGATTACATATTTTTTTCTCTGTCACATTAATGAGAACTCAACCCTTTTCCATGCAAGATGATACTTTAAGGAGGATTTGACCAGATGCCTTTTAAACTCCCTTTTAATCCTGAGATTCTTTGATTTGAGGCTTCTGCAATTTTGTCCAAAGTATACTCATGTTGAAGCCCTCTTTATTCCAAGGCACCAAGTTCATCAGACATTTTATTTAGAGGAAATCTCATTTATAACTATAGTACATGTAAATATGTATATACATATATCCCGTCTCCCATTTTCTTCTAAGAAATTGCTTCTTCAGAGAATGATTGAATTGGTTTTAAAGTGGTTTATCTATTCCTGCTGCTTATTCTCCCACTTGACATGTTAATCCCCTCTCGATGTTATCAGATAACCCCTTGGTTACTGCCATCAGGTCAAAACAAATGTTTCCAGGGACATCTAGGGAAGCAATGTTCCATGTTCCAGAAGACTGTTAAGCATTCTTGACATGAGAGCAGCCCTTTGGAACCCTTAGCACAAATAAATGAAAAGGCCTGGCTTAGCCCATCAGTTCCTTTGAAGACACAGTCAGTCTGGGACACATAGAAAAAGAAGACCTTTGTGTTTAGATCTGTGATCAAAACTGTTCACTCTCACCAAGACCTCCCTGAGAGGTGTTTCACAAATAATAAAGTAGTGAGGTGTTTGCAAACAGAGTGGACAAAGCAGACACGGGAATCAAACAGTCTGTCTTTACACAGTCACAGATCCACTAAAATCTAACCATAGCTGACAAGTCTGTGTGTCTCTCCATTTTTATATGCTTTAGTCACTAGCCAGTCCCACCCTTCTTTTTTTTTTTCTCTTTTAATTTTTATTTTGAAATTGTGGGGTACAATTCAGGGTTAGGTATACATATGTTCCTTGTGCAGGCACCCTTATTGATGAGGTAGTCCCACTATTCTTACAGAAAATGCTTCTTGGTAAAGAATTTAGGACTCTAATTAGGGAGGAAATATAAGTAATACAAAGTATTAAATGCTTAGTGATTAAAGTTTAAGTTTACGAGTATCATGTCAATCATACCATATATTTCAAGATACGTAAATAAATCAGATATACAAAGACACCACTGCAAACAATGCGACTTTTGCCTCATTTTGTGTTTAATATTATCGAAGCCTGTATTAGGGCCTTAAGAAACACAAGTTCTTGACATACATCTATAATCTGGAAGAATAAATATACTCCAAATGCTTATCATCAGAACTCTGGAAAAAGAGGGATATAAATTCTCTCTTCAGTGTTTTAAAAATTGGTATCTAAATTATTTCATTTTGACCTAGATTAGTAACCTATGTTGTCTTCATCGAGCTTTTAAAATTGAAAAGAAATTTAACTTCCAAATATAATAAAGACTTAAGTATACATTCAAAATTTCTTTTCTTTTTTTTTTGAGTTGGAGTCTTACTCTGTCGCCCAGACTAGAGTGCAGTGGCATGCTCACAGCCATCCCAGCATTGTTTTGCTGAGCTCTGGCGATCCTTCTGCCTCAGCCTTCCAAGTAGTTGGAACTACAGTTATGTGCTACCCCGCCCGGCTAATTTTGGATTTATTGCGGAGATGTGGTCTCACCAAGTTGCTAGGACTGGTCTCGAAGCTGCAGGTTCAGGCAATCCACTTGCCTCGGTCTCCCAAAGTGCTGGGATCACAGGCAGAGCTACCAAACCCAGCCAACATTTATTTTCTATTATACTTCTGGACAAAAGGAGCTGAGGAATTTTTTCGTTATTTTACTTTCTTATGACAAACATCGTCAGGTTTTTTTTAAAGCAAAGGAACTGTAGTTGAGGAGTCTAATTCTATATGAATGGTTTTAATCACAGTCAAGTTAAAATAATATTTAACATGAATTCACTTCACTAGATGATGATGTTATCTTTTAAACATCAGTATGTCTCATACCATTTCTGGACGGCCGTAATGTGTTCTTACGTCTTCATCAACATGACTTCTTCACTTTTCTGCTCTAGAGCTTCCTTGACTTAAAATAATGGCTTGAGGCAGATCACAGGGGATTTACTGGCTCTGTGTTATTTCTTAAATGTTGGGCAGAGTTGGGTTGGCTGATGATGTCACTCATTAGAATGCGCTGTGTCTTCAGTACCCTGGGCTTGCCTGGCAGTCTGAGAGAAAGCCTTGGTTCCTTCTATAGCCAAAGACTAGTTTCCAATAGCCTAAAGCAGTGGCCAAAAAGGCCCAGGAAATAAATGCTACTTTTAGAAGAGATTTGCATTTAATGGTGTTGTTATAGGTAACGAATTTCCTTGAGCAAAAATCCCACTTACTCAATGTTTAGGGAAAAAATTGAATTTTATAACAATAGTTGCCTTGCCTTGTGGAAAAGATTTACTCTAATCACTTTCAATTTCTTTTTCTAACAGTCATACATGTTCTGTAATCTAAATTTCTTAAATTTATTTAATTTTTAAAAATCAGAGTCTCACTCTGTTGCCCAGGCTGGAGTGCAATGGCATGCTCATGGCCACTGCAGCCTTGACCTGCTGGGCTTAGGCAATCCTTCCACCTCAACCTTCCAAGTAGTTAGAACCACAGGTGTGTGCCACAACACCTGGCTAATCTTTCATTTATTGTAACGACGAGGTCTCATCAAGTTGCCCAGGCTGGTCTTGAACTCCTGGGCTCAAGCAATTCTCTCTCCTCAACCTCCCAAAGTGCTGGGATTACAGGTGTGAGCCACTGTGCCCGGCTTTAAATTTCTTAAACTTATTTTAAATCTGAGGGAAAATAAAAAACCCAATGGGATAAAAACAAGCACAAAGAAAACAAACAAACCATTTTGCAAAGTAAACAAATCATTTTGCCATTATGCTTTCTTCTGGATAACTGCAAATATTGATCATTTCCATTTCGTTTCAATGCTGAAGAAAAATACACTTGTGGCCCAATGGTCAAGCAATATGCATGAGGGGCAAAACATGGAAACCAGAAAAGGAATAGAACTGTAAGACAAACTTTTAAAATCCTAGTGATACAAAAACTTCCTTCCTTATTGATCCTGTTTGTGTCCATTCCACAAGAACTCACATTTTGGTTCCAGAAGGCCATGCACCATAAGCCCTGATCACAAAGACCACTATTTGTAGAGGGTTAAACAGAGGCTGTTGTCAGTGTTTACTGGTGGCAAGCTTGCAAAAGTCTTCTGGAAGATTAATAACATTCTGTTCCAATCATTTGTTTTCTGGATTCTGGAGACTATGGAAATAGAAAAGGATAGAAACAAGGCATGTTCTTTGAGGTTTCCGGGGCTGGGTAGTAGAAAAATAGGTGTTTTCCTTTGGGGCTTTTTTGTAGCTGAGAATGGTGAGGCCGATGCGTCTGAGAGTACTTTTTCATTTTCCTCAGTCTTTAAGGGAGTGGTAGGCTTTGGCAGTCCGGCTGTTGACAAAGTCTGTCTTCTTAAACTGAGCCTTCGGAATAAGCAAACAGAAACGTGAAAGGTAACACAATTTTCACACAAGAAAACGCAGTTTTTAAAGTGATTTCTTACCTGGGTCAAGTCAAGCAGGCCCTTATTATCTGACTTTGTTAACTACAACGCCCTCCTTGTTTGCATTCTTACCTTCTTGTAGGCATTATGGAGTTCTGTGTGAGCCCACAGAGAATACAGGAGGACAGAAGCAGCCTTACTTGCTTTGTTGGAGGCGTGGCTGAAAAGAAAATGACATTCCAAGATCAGGGAGGATGAAAGAGTCTTCTGGAAATCCTCTCTAACTACTGTTCCTTGAAGTCAGGCCACTCAGAATGATGATACTATAAAGTGGTGAGCTTTGGAAGGCAGGGGCCACACTGTTTTTTTTGTTTTAACCTTTTAAAACCACTAGCACCACTAAATAAACAGTTTATAGACCAAATCCCTGGTATTTATAAGGAACATACAAATCCTTGAACTTATTTTTAGAGTCAACTTCTATTTGTATGTTGATATATATTTATAGAAAATGCAGAAAAGTATGACTGAAAAATAAATATAACTCTGTGAATAACTCTTGTAATTTTTCAAGTCAATGGAAGAAATTCTGTGGTAGCCCTTGCTGAAATAGTTTCAAAATCACTTTATGCTTTAGTATAGCGCAAACAGAAAACTTGTTTCTGTTATAAATCCAAGTCGCCACTGAACTTGACATTGTACTTAGTTTTTGATGTTCTGCTTTTAAATTTGTCCTGACTCTTCTATTTCTGGCTAAAGAGCAATGGCTTCTTAGATCTTTCTCACTCCCCCCCACCTGGCTGACACATGGCTGATTATTTTTTAAAAAACAAACATTTAAAAAAATTTTTATTTTGAAGATGTGGGGTACAATTCAGGATTAGATACATAAGTGGTCACTGTATAGGCAAAGTTTGGGCCTCTCATCAGTCTCACTTTGCCTGGTTTGGGATCAGGTACCCTTATTGATGTTATGTGCCCCTTCCTTCTCCTGACAGTATCTCGCTACTGCCAATACCTTTCTTAAACAGAGTTTTTTCTCCCATATCATAGGGGTTTATAAACATAAAACCCAAAACAGAGAGTCCATAGCTGTCCAGAGAGGAGCACGGTGGCCCCTTCATTCACTAATGGCCTCTCCTTCCATACCAGCCTTACAGGGAGGGCGAGTCAAATCGGCACTGCACAGATTTCTCAGTACCTCACGGATTTTTCAGAGTCACTTGGTAATAACCCAAGTGCAAAAAAATCCATGAGCGCTATGGGTTTCTAATATTCAAAACTGTGAAAAGTTCTTAAATTTCAAGGGTGTTTATTTGTAAAGTTTGTGTGTAAGTTGGTTGTTTGGCACTTGGTATTCATTTATTCAAAGATATAATGTTGTAAGTGATAGTTCCCAGGCTAGGTCACAAACTGTAGGTCAGATACACAACACTCTAGGAGGAAAAGAGTAGCAGGCACAACTGATAGAAGCTACTTGACTCTTGTTTTTAGATAGGGCATGAGGACACTCACTCACAAATGGATACTTGGGGCAACAAACATGCCACAGAGCAGCACATCCCCATCCTGCTAGGCTAAGAGAAGTTTCCAAAAGTGATGGCACATTCCCATGTACACCAGTTGCTATGTCAAAATACGCAAATAATGAAAATCAGCCTATCATACATGATTTGCTTAGAAGTTTGGATGACTGCTGGAAAAAGTCATTTCTGTTTTGGAGCAGTAATTCATTCTTTCCACAAAAACTGAGCAACTATCTGCCAGGCTCTGGGACAGGTGAATATTCTTGGGGAACTGAGAGTCAAGCCAGTACTCAAGGCTCATTTTAATCCCTTGGCTGTGAATGTAATCTTCCTTCCTTGTGTGTGTTGCAGACAGAGGCCGCAGGGCACAAGGAGTCTCAAGTGGGTAGGGCTGTGGTGAAGGCAATGACATTCCAGGACACCATGGACCCCTATCCTTATCCCTGTGCAGCCATGAACATATTTCTGCACTACAAGTGAAGTCCATTTGCTTTGCAAAGAAACTTGGAACTAGGTATAATGGAGCAGCATTTCTTTTCTTTTCTGGTTATTTATAAAAGTGTCTTATATTTGTAACAAGCTAAACAATTCAGAATTGTATAAAGAGAAAAGATAATCTTCATGACCCCTTCCAATCCCATCACTCTACATTAATAATAAATAATTTGGTTATACAAGGTTTTCATTCTTTTTTCCACTTTTTTTGTTTTTTATGTTTATCTTTAGACAGGGGGGTTTTGCTCTATTTCCCAGACTGGAGTGCAGTGGCATCACCACAGTTCACTGCAGCTTCAAGGTCCTGGGTTCAAGCCATCCTTCCATCTCAGCCTCCAGAGTAGCTGGGGCTACAGGTGCACACTACCATGCCTGGTCAATTTTTTTTTTTTTTTAGTTGGAGTCTCACTCCGTTGCCCAGGCTGGAGCGCAGTGGCACGCTCACGGCCATCACAGCCTCAACTTTGGTGATCTTTCCGCCTGGGCTTTGGTGATCCTTCCGCCTCAGCCTTCCAAGTAGCCAGAACAACAGGTATGTGCTAATTTTTTATTTTTTATTGTAGAGACGAGGTCTCTCCAAGTTGCCCGGGTGGGTCTCGAACCCACGGGCTCAGGCAATCCACTTGCCTCGGCCTCCCAAAGTGCTGAGATTACAGGCTAAGTCACCAAGCCTGGCCTCATTCTGCTCTTCTTAAATCACAGCTGAAGCTCTGGGAAATTAACTTATCAGGTTAATAAAATGTTGGAATGTCTACCAAGAGTAGCTCTGGAGTTTGACTCTTGAAGTTTTAGAAGACAAAGGACAACTACGTGGCTTGGTTGACTCAGCTCTTCCATTGCCTACTCGCTAAGGACTGGCTGGAGGACCTGGCCCAGTTCTACAGTCTTGTCTGTGGCCATGTTGCCTATGGAACTCATGACTGCACACTCACAACTAGATTATTCAGATAGGAGTGGTGGTGGCCACTGGGAGACAGCTGACGAGCAACTGCTAAAGTACTTACCCATCGCCTGAACTGATGGCCATAATTTTCTGCAGGCCTCCAGTGTTTAGAAGGTCCCGTGCATTTTGGTAACTATTTTGGATTATATTGTTCAATGTGTAACAGGCAGAGGCTGTGGTTTCAGTGAGAAGGTCAGTACTTGGGACTGTGTCAGGAATTATGGAAATCAAATCAGGTAGTGTTTCTTTGGCTACAAAATGAAAGAAAAAGAACACTTGATTTAAAAGATTGCTTCTTAATCCCGAGATCCCAATACATTTTGGGTAAAGAAATTTTTTGTTTGTTTGTTTTGTTTTTTGAGTTGAGTCTCACTCTGGCCTGTACTTGGTTTTTTTTTTTTATTTGGAGTCTCACTCTGTTGCTCAGACTGGAGTGCAGTGGCCGCTCCCGGTCACCGCAGCCTCGCCTGCTGGGCTCCGGTGATCCTTCCGCCTCAGTCTTCCAAGTAGCTGGAACTACACCGGCTGGAGTGCAGTGGCACGCTCATGGCCACCACAGCCTCAACCTGCTGGGCTTAGGTAAGCCTTCCACCTCAGCCTTCCATGTAGCTGGAACTACAGATGCACGCCACCACGCCTGGCTAGTTTTTGTGGTTTATTGTAGAGATGAGGTCTCATCAAGTTGCCCGGGCTGGTCTTGAACCCCCAGGCTCAGGCAATCCTCTCACCTTGGCCTCCCAAAGTGCTGGGATTACAGGCTGAGCCACCGAACCTGGCCAAGAACGTTTTTAAAAAGAAACATAGTTGGTTAAAAACAAGAAAAGATGTCACCTCCGTAATAATCAAATTTAGGAAAGCTTTTTAAAAGAAGAAACTTGTGCTTAGTACACGGAAAATCTTTGCAGAATGCAGTTTGACAGAAATGTCAAGAATTTAAAACATTTTTATTTTCTTCAATTCAGTAATTCCATTCCATTTAGTAACACACCTTAAACTCATCACTTTAAAAATAGAAAAAGCTAGCTGGGTTCGGTGGCTCAGCCTGTAATCCCGTGCCTTTGGGAGGCTGAGGTGAGTGAATTGCCTGAGCCTGCGGGTTCGAGAC